ATGTAAACCACACAGTACCCAAAACCTGTAAACCCCACATTGTAACCCTTATAGAGAATAAACTTGAATTGAATTGAATTGAATTTATTCGGGATAAATGTTCTTTGGGCAGCATGTATAGTGTTCAGAAAACTCTCATATTGATAGCTCTCTTCGTTACCTCAGTCCACAGATGGCAAGTGTTCTCTAAGCCTATTGTAATCTGCTAAGCAAAAATCTGGGACCATTACTGAATTATCCCTACTATCATACTTCCATTCAATGCTAAAGGTTATTGGTTTATAATCACTTGCGCTGAGTTCCTCTGTAATTTCTAAATTATTAACAAGAGTTTCCTTGTTTGCCAGAACCAAATCAAGCAGGTTATTTCCCCTTGTAGGCTCTGTCACAAATTGCTTCAAAAAACAATCCTGAACTACTTCTAAGAAATCGTTAGATTCTAAATTCCCAGTCATGAAATTCCAATCAATCTGACCAAAGTTGAAGTCCCCTAGAATTACTGCGTTATCGTGCCTTGTGGCCTTAACAATTTATTTATTTATTTATTTATTTATTTATTTATTAATTTGGAATTTCCTCCCATAGTAGTCTCCCTTTGTCCCTATCTAAGTTTGGGGGACGGTATATCACACCTAAAATCAGTTTTTCATGTCACTCTGAAAATTCTATCCAAACAGACTCTGTATGTGCTATATTTCAGATTTTATACCCGTTTTTATGCAATAGTTCAAGCGATCTCGGACATACAGTGCCACCACACCCCCCTTCCCGATACTTCTATCTACTTGGAACAGTTTAAAACCCTGAATGTGACATTCTGCAGGCATGTCCTGACTTTTTGAATTGAACCGCATCTCAGTTATGGCAAATACATCAATGCTACCTGCACTAGCAACTAATCTCAACTCGTCCATCTTATTCCTAGCACTACGGCTATTAGCGTAATATGCATTGAAAGACCCTCCTTTCTCTTTACCCTTCCTGCTCATTTCTGTTTTTCTACTAAACCTATTACTGTCTTTGTCACCTAGTGCCACTGACTTTCCAGTATCTACCTCATTCTGCTTATTACTACTTCCCCTAGAACTCATAATATTACTACACTGGGACTTCACTGTTTTCCTGCCAAAACTCATACCACTAACTGTTCCTAGTTTAAAGTCCTAACATCTCCCTCCACTGCAGTTGCCAGTGCTCCCACCCCAGACCTAGATAAGTGAACCCCATCCCTGGCATACATGTCATTTCTGCCATAGAAGAGGTCCCAGTTGTCAATGAATGTTACCGCATTTTCCTTACAGTATTTGTCCAGCCAGCAATTGACACCAATTGCCCTGGACAACCATTCGTTTCCAACTCCTCTCCTTGCCAAAATGCCACATATGACAGGGTTCCCTCCCTTCTTAATTATTTCTATTGCTGACCTTTACCTGGAAGAGTTTGAGGTAATCAGTCCCTCAGCCTTGTGTCGATATAATCAGTCCGTCAATTTTGAAAGAATACAGCATATGTGTGAAGAAGTGGCTTATGTACTGTAGGCAGATGAGGGCATAGTCACTGGTAGGCGGGATTTCCCAGTGGAAGTAGGTCCTGAGGGACTGATTACCTCATCTTTTGTATATAGTTCTACTATCTTCTAATTATGTCCTAGAATCTGTATTGATAAAGCCTCTGGATGGCGAAACGTCTACAATAAAGTTAACCAGAAGTTGCACATATGTCTTAACTTTCACACTGTCGGTATTTTCATACCTTTCTTGCACAGCTTAGCTCATATTACAAGGTGCCCTCCGTTCCTAGTTATGTCTATTGCTGATCTTAACCTGCTAATCAGGTATTCATTTCTATGTTTGCCAACATTATTGGTTCCCACACTGAGACAGATATTAGGATTTAAGAACATAAGAATGGAGGAACACTGCAGAAGGCCTACTGGCCCATACAAGGCAGGTCCTTATCAAAACAACCTCTACCCAAAGTTACCCAAGAATTATGCAAGTCCCACTCAGATCCAACCCCTCTCACTCATGTATTTATCCAACCTAAATTTGAAACTACTCAACGTTTTAGCTTCAATAATCCTAGTAGGAAGACTGTTCCACTCGTCAACTACCCTATTTCCAAACCAATACTTGCCTATATCCTTTCGAAATCTAAACTTATCTAATTTGAATCCATTATTGCGGGTTCTCTCTTGGAGAGATATCCTCAAGACCTTATTTATATTCCCTTTGTTAATACCCATCTTCCACTTCTACACCTCGATCATGTCTTCCCTCATTCTTCGTACGGAAGACATTAACACCCCTCCTTCAGAGTGCAGGCACTGTACTTCCCATCTCCAGGACTCAAGTCCGGCCTGCCGGTTTCCCTGAACCCCAAAGTAACATTTATGAAGGGGTTCAGGGAAACCGGCAGGCTGGATTTGAGTCCTGGAGATGAGAAGTACAGTGCCTGCACTCTGAAGGAGGGGTGTTAATGTTGCAGTTTAAAAACTGTAGTGTAAAGCACCCTTCTGGCAAGACAGTGATGGAGTTAATGATGGTGAAAGTTTTTCTTTTTCGGGCCACCCTGCCTTGGTGGGAATCGGCCAGTGTGATAATAAAAAAAATAATTTAGTTATTCTTTGCTGAATGTTTTCAAAGGAATTTATATCCCATCTGTAGTATGGAGACCAGAACTGAGCTGCGTAATCTAGGCGAGGCCTTACTAATGATGTATAAAGCTGCAGTATAACCTCTGGACTTCTGTTGCTTACACTTCTTGATATAAATCCCAATAATCTATTTGCCTTATTACGTACGCTTAGGCATTGCTGTCTTGGTTTAAGGTTGCTGCTTACCATAACCCCCAAGTCCTCTTCGCAATCTGTACAGCTAAGTTCTACATTATTTAACTTATAAGTGCTAGGGTTATGGACACTCCCAAGCTTCAGAACCTTGCATTTATGTACATTGAACTGTACCTTCCACGATGTTGACCAGACGGCTAACCAGGAAAACACACCTTCCTCCTCCTCTTCCTATCTTGAAGACAAAATGCCCTATGACACTCCCCAATAAAACACTGGCAGTGTTCAGCATGATGTTCTAGGATGTCCTGAATCATCAATTCACACTTATCTCCTAACATAGAGAAAGAATTGTTGGTCTCCACAACAGTGTCCTGGACCTTCATCTTCAGCTTTGCCTCACTCATTCCTACCAGCATCGAATCCTTGGTTCTGTTATTGATGCAGTTGTTTTAAGAACATAAGAATGAAGGAACACTGCAGCAGGCCTACTGGCCTATGCGAGGCAGCTCCATTTCTCCCACCGGCTTAAGCCAATGCCTTGACCTAGTGAGGTCAGACTCGTCACTTAAGGGAAGAGCAGTGCATCCGACCTAGTAGCACAAGCTAGTCAGGTCCAACTCACACCCATCCACACCCACTCATGTATTTATCCAACCTATTTTTAAAACTACACAACGTCTTAGCGTCTATGACAGTACTCGGGAGTTTGTTCCACTCATCCACAACTCTATTACCAAACCAGTGCTTTCCTATATCCTTCCAGGATCTGAATTTTTCCAATTTAAAGCCATTGCTGCAAGTCCTGTCTATGTTAGATATTTTTAGCATGCTATTTACATCCCCTTTATTAATTCCTGTTTTCCATTTATACACCTCAGTCATATCCCCTCTAATTCTATGCCTGTCTAGAGAGTGCAGGTTCAGGGTCCGCATTCTGTCCTCACAGGGAAGATTTCTGATACATGGGAACAACTTTGTCATCCTCCTTTGTACGTTTTCCAGTGCATTTGGTATATCCATTCTGTAATACGGTGACCTTGATACATGGGATCAACTTTGTCATCCTCCTCTGTACGTTTTCCAGTGCATTTATATCCATTCTGCAATATGGTGATCTTGTTACAAAATAATCCTTGCACACTTCTTTTAAGTTGTTGAATATTTCTTCTTGCTTCCTCTAACTCTGCATTAACCTGAACGTACAGTTGCTCAAAGTTGAGGAAGCACTTCATCACAGTCTTAGCCAAGAATGGAGAGCTCACTTGGCATGTCATCTCACAATAAATTATCACCTTGCTCCATAGCATTCACTTCTTTTACATCCCCATCTATAAAATATGTTCCACCAAAGAAATAGAAATCTAGTTTGTGGTAATCCCTAATGTCAGAATTTCTACCTTTCAAAAGTAGTGGCCATGAATAGATTCACCCCTGACTTTGCAGAAAAATTTGGTCCTAAACTCTCTAACTATACATGGGTATATACAGTATGTGACCAGCTCTGTGGTCACTATCTTGAATACTATGTACTTATTTGTCCACTTGTTGAGCGATATAGAAATAGTATAATAACCTATGTTATAGATCAGGATATCTTATTAATGAAAATAAGATACCAGACATATTAAGCAAATTTCGTAAATTTGTTTTAAACAGATAAGTCAGAAGTGAATATAAATCTTTTTGGGGTCAGGTTCCTAGGCCTTTTGTGTATCCATATGGTTTTGCACTACCATCCACAGGATTTGTATGGGGTGCACAATAAACTAGCCATTTCCATGGCAAAATAAGAAAAATCAAAATTTAATCCCAAATTCATTTACAAACTTTTACAATCTCAGAATCTCTCAAAAGAACTGTGTCATTGGCAGAAAAGCAACTGACAATTGCCACTTTGTATTAGTCGTTTTTTAATCTCACCCCTCCAACACCTTACCATTCTCTTGTTTTACAAACCCATCTATAAATATGTTAAACAAATATGGTGTTATCACACATCAATGTCTAAGACCTACTGTTATTGAAAAATTCTCCCCCAGGCAAACCTGGCCTATGGCCAGGCTCTGGGAGTGTATCAGACATTCAAGAAGTTTCATACCAGAAAAATACAAACATCAGACTTAATTCATTGAACAACTTCATGTAATACTGTACTTGTATTTGATTGAAAAAATGCATGAGTCACTGCTAATGCCATATATTGCAGGCTGCAGCTAAGAAGCAGGCAGAGATGGAAGAGAAACAAGAACGAGAAAGAGTAGAGTCAATCAAGCAGCAAGAAGATGCAATCAAAGAAGTAAGTATTGTTGCTGCTTCTGCTCTTGAATATTATTGTAGAAGAGAGAGACAACATTAGTTAACATTATTAAAGGAATATTTCATCCAGCAGATGCTTTATCACTTAGGTTTATAAAGATCCTGGTGGGTGAAACATTTTTTTAATAAAGTTTAGTAAATTATGTTCCATAAGTGTCTCATAATGTTGTTAGAATTGTCTGTTTTTTTATATATACAGTAGCCCCTTTGTAGGCCTGGTCACAGACCGGGCTGCGAGGGCATTGACCCCCAGAACTCTCTCCAGGTAAACTCCAGGTACAGGTCCGCCATCACAAATCCAGCAATCAGTTATTCGGTTCCTTCAGTTATTCGGCACTAATTTTGGCTAGCATAATTTCAAATTTCCAGGGTCGCCACACCAACCTCCTGGTACTGTTTGGTGGCGCTACTTGCTGCATAAGTCGTTCCAATTTCTTTTTCTCCATTTATTGTTTTAACCTGCTTACTTTTAGCCCTAGCCATGGTTCCAAAGAATAAAAGAAATGCTTCTCATTATGTAAAGCACCTACACAGTACATTATCCATTAAAGATAAGGTGGCTTTGAAGCCACTGTTGGTTGTCATGAACTCAGTCTCATGAAGCAGGAGAATGTGCTTTATTATTACGCTAATATCAACACTACAGCTTATTTACCTATCACAATTGATCTAATATGACATCATAAACAATATAAATAACATAAAACATGTTAAATACTCAAGAATGAATAATATTTGGCATAGCACCGAGCAGTTCGACAGAGTTACGAAGAGGATATGGTAAACAAATACTATTCTCCTATCCTTGTCTTGGGGGCTTATATTAGAGAAAACGGAGTACAGCACAGGGCTAACTATGATATACACTCGTACTCCACCATAAACATGAAACAAAAAAGTTATTTTCTCTCTATAGATTATCACACATAGCAGCATATGTGTAGAGAACCTAGGATAACCCCATAAAAAGTCAACGTGGCTTATTTTTAGTACCTGGCTTGGGTTAGCCATATATGATTTTTGGTAAATATTCGATTCCCAGCCAGGGTAGAAACATTAGGCGTGTTTCTTTACACCTGTTGTCTATGTTTACCCATCAGTAAATGGGTACCTGGGTGTTAGTCGACTAGTGTGGGTGTTATCCTGGGACACTGACCTAATTTTCTTGAAATACTCAGCATAGCAAGTGCCTTTCTATACAGTAGTATGTCACTGATATTAGCTAGGCCTGTATACCTTGTACATGTACGTGTAGTAAATAAAGATATTATTATTATTATTATTATTATTATTATTATATTATTATTTTCTCAGTTGTTTGTTGGGTTATCTTATTCAAACTTGGGCAATGTATGATGGAAAGATACTTCTTCACGTACACCAGAAATGAAAGAAATCAGACTATAAATAGCGGAGTTCACTTCTCAGCCATTAGCGGCCGCTTAGCGGTATATTTTTGTATGGTTGTTATGGTTATATTCTCATTTTTTCGGTCTCATTTGATAGAATGAAAGATATATTACAGAAATAGATATGATTTTGATTGCTTTCATGACGAAAAGTACCTTGAAATTGCGTTCACAGTAGCGAAAATGTTCTATTCTTTAGCGAAGCTCAAGAGTAAACAAATGACGTCACTGTCCAATACCTGTCCGCCTGCCAGTCTAAATTCCAGTACGGAGTCAAGAATGGATTGACATTATTTATACAATTATTACAATAATGCAGTAGTCTGCATAACAGTAAATCATCTATATTTTTTTTTGTGAAAAAAAATTCCAAATGGTAAGCAAGAGTAATATAAGAGGGGCCTGTAGCCTTGACTAATGAACAGAGAAAATGTTATTTTAGTGCCAGGAATGTCTGCATTGTTTATTCTGGACCTTATTTTGAAATTGGCATCTGTTAAAATTTGTGTTAAATCGGCCAAATTGCCAATTTCTGACCACTTTATTGGGTAGTTGAAATAAGTGAATGGGTGGTTTTTTATACTCAGTTGACAGACTAAAAGTAAATAAGTTTATTCAGGTATACACAAATACAGTTACATAGATTATCATACATAGCAGTGTATGTATAAAGAACCTAGGATAACCCAAAAAAGTCAGACAAAGTGACTTATTTCCAGTACCTGGCTTGGGCTTGCCATATATGATTTTTGGCAGATATTTTTTTTTTCTCGGTTGTTTGTTGGGCTATCTCATTGAAACTTGGGCAATGTATGATGGAAAGATGCTTCTTAACGTACAACAAAAATAAAAAAAGACGGACTTTAAATAAGGGAGTTCACTTCTCAGCCATTAGCCGCCTCTTTGCAGTATATTCTCGTATGGTTTTTATGGTTGTATTCTCATTTTTTGGACTCATTTGATAGAATGGAAGATATATTACAGAAATAGACATGATTTTGATTGCTTTCATGACGAAAAGTACTTTGAAATTGAGCCCAAAGTAGCGGAAATGTTTGATTTTTGCCGATGTTCAATGAACTGTGTAAATCAAGTTGGTTAATTTTATTAAGTGTATTCTAACCTAACCACTCTGTAATTTGGCAAACTCAGTAATCCGGCACACTACAGGTCCCAATGATGCTGGATTTGTGATGGAGGACCTGTATCCACAGGGAATACATTCCAAGATCTACCATGGATGCCAGTAACCATGGATAATAGTGAACTCTATACATGTATATGTCATTTTTCATTTACATGCATATCCATGACAGTTTAATTGATAAGTTACACACAATTATGCACACTTTTTCACTGATGGTAAGCACTTTATGGTCTCTCTTAGGCTCTGAAGAATTCTGGAGAAACTTTTGTCATTATTAAGCAAAATAAGGCCTATTTTCAAGCCATGGTAAACCCTGGATGATGGAAACCGTGGAAACCGAATCCATGGGTATGGGGTTTCTACTGTTCATATTTGTGAATGTTCTCTTGTTCAAAGATGTAGGTATTGCCACCTCTCCTGTTATTCATTTTCTTTTTGTTTTTTTTCAACAAGTCGGCCGTCTCCCACCGACGCAGGGTGACCCAAAGAGAAAGAAAATCCCCAAAAAGAAAATACTTTCATCATCATTCAACACTTTCACCTCACTCACACATAATCCCTGTTTTTGCAGAGGTGCCCAGAATACAACAGCTTAGAAGTATATACGTATAAAAATACACAATATATCTCTCCAAACTGCCAATATCCCAAACCCCCTCCTTTAGAGTGCAGGCATTGTACTTCCCATTTCCAGGACTCAAGTCCAGTTATATAAAATAACCGGTTTCCCTGAATCCCTTTACTAAATATTACCCTGCTCACACTCCAACAGATCGTCAGGTCCCAAATACCATTTATCTCCATTCACTCCTATCTAACATGCTCACGCACACTTGCTGGAAGTCCAAACCCCTCGCCCACAACACCTCCTTTACCCCCTCCCTCCAACCTTTTTGAGGACGACCCCTTCCCCGCCTTCCTTCCCCTACAGATTTACATGCTCTCCATGTCATTCTACTTTGATCCATTCTCTCTAAATGACCAAACCACCTCAACAAACCCTCTTCAGCCCTCTGACTAATACTTTTATGAACTTCACTCCTCCTAATTTCCACACTCCGAATTTTCTGCATAATATTTACACCACACATTGCTCTTAGACAGGACATCTCCACTGCCTCCAACCACCTCCTTGCTGCAGCATTTACAACCCAAGCTTCACACCCAGTGTGACTTTAAATGGTCCAAGTCGGACCGAAACTTCGTCATAAGCTTCTCTCTTTTATGTGCGGGTTATTTGTGTACCCATATAAGAGTGTTGGTACTACTATACTTTCATACATTCCCTTCTTTGCCTCCATAGATAACATTTTTTGCCTCCACATATACCTCAATGCACCACTCACCTTTTTGCCTTCATCAATTCTATGATTAACCTCATCCTTCATAACTCCATCCGCTGATACGTCAACTCCCAAATATCTGAAAACATTCACTTCTTCCACACTCCTCCTCCCCAATTTGATATCCAATTTTTCTTTATCTAAATCATTTGATACTCTCATCACCTTACTCTTTTCTATGTTCACTTTCAACTTTCTACCTTTACACACATTCCCAAATTCGTCCAATAACCTCTGCAAATGTTATTCATGTGTTTCCTAATCATTTGATGGATTCTGTGTTCTTTTTATATTATCTGGGATTTGAAACTAAGATTAACCCAATTACCAGTTAACATATTGTTGAGTTGTCCCCTTTGGTCACTTGTAGTATTTAGTGTGTATGCAGATGTGTAGAGTGGCAGATGTTTAGATACTTGTATTTGATGTACCGTAAATGTATTTAAGATGAATGATAGTAGGAGAAAGAAAATTAGAGTGGAAATTAGATATGGAAATAACATGATGAAATGTTTATAAAGAACCCTGATAGTTCCAGCATTATACAGTGAATAAAGACTTTAGCTGAGAAATAAGAGATAATTGTATGATATAGGCAAAATCTTTGTGTAAAGATTGAAGATGTTATAGAATTGCAAAGAGCATTTAAGTAGTACAGTGTGAATGTGTGGAATGTGAGATTAGCAATAACATTTCTAAATGCAATTTATGTCAGTTAAGTTTTAGTTAGGAGGTAGACTTTGTAATTGTGGTATTAAAATGTGAATATCAGTTTCAATAAATTTAATATTTTTTGTACTACAGAGGATATGAAGTACTCAAAACTGGTACTAAACTCAATCGCAAGACACTGGCAGGAGTTTTCATACTGCAGATGTAAAAGGTTTGGGAATAGTAATATTAGATGACCTCATACTTAAGTGAAGGTGATGTATGGCAATAATTACTGACAAAGATGTGAAGGGAAACCCCTCAAGAAGTCTTTATTGTAGACCACCTTAGACTAAAAGCATTCAGCATTTCTTCAGACAAATATAAGTACTGGCACAGTTTTTCAGAAAGAAACTGAGGTTTCTACAAGTTATGCTAGGTCAGCTAGGTTAGAGTAAATTTAATGGCTACAGCAAGACTTGGTGTTACAAAATGTATACTTTTATTTCAGGGTGTGAGAGCATTTATGTATTTTATTTCAGGCTGTCAGAGCATCACTTGAGACTGATATACCTGATGAGCCAAGTTCAGACTGTCCATATCCTATAACAACATTGCGTTTTCGTATACCTGGCGGACAAAGTTTTAGTCGAAATTTCCTTGCAAATACAACCCTACAGGTTAGTGCTCATTATATGTTTAGTGAATGACTTAGTACTCAATTTTTTAAGCTACCTAAGATGAAAGAAAAAATAATTGGATATTACATTTTTAGCTCTTGACTTGACGTGCTGTTGGAGTGTGAGCAAGGTAACATTTATGAAGAGATTCAGGGAAACTGGCAAGGCAGACTTGAGTCCTGAAGGTAGGACATAGAGTGCCTGTACTCTGAAGTAGGGGTGTTGATATTTGCAGTTTTATAACTGTAGTGTAGGATGCCTCTGGCAAGACAGAGATGAAGTAAATATTGATGAAAGTGTTTCTTCTTTTGCAAGTCACCTGCTTGGTGGGAAACGGCCAATGTGTTAATAAATAAATAAAAATTTTAGCTCTTAGACAATGAATTCCCTCTTATGCAGATTAACTGAGGCCAGAACTCTTCCATTTAAGTGGGAATTCTGGTTGGCCACCATTCTTCAATTACGTATTTATTTTGGGACAACACAGATTTTATTAGTGTGAACGATAGAACAAATTTATAGGTATTTTGACACCAAAATCCTAGAAAAAAAAATACTATGTTCTCTCACTGGAAAGGTATTTTGATGCTACAAGTATAAGAATAATTGGTAAATAGAAAACTTGCAGTCATCTTTCAAGTGCTTCTATAACCTGAGATACCACAGTGAGGAAACCCACTGGCATTTTACTTTTAAGTAAAGTTCCACAAATAAATAATTAATAGAAATAACAGCAAATTACCTAGGTAGTGGGTTGGTAGACAGTAACTACCCAGGGAGATACTACCATCCTGTTAAGTGGGTGCAAAACAGAAGTCTGTAATTGTTTTACATGATGGTAGGATTGCTGGTGTCTTGTTTCTGTCTCATAAACGTGCAAGATTTCAGGTACATCTTGTTACTTCTACTTTCACTTAGGTTACACTACACTTGCATTTTTTTCATCAAACTGGCCATATTCCACCAAGGCAGGGTGACCTAAAAAGAAAAATGAAAGTCTCTCTTTTTAAATTTATTAATGTATACAGGAGAAGGGGTTACTAGCCCCTTGCTCCTGGCATTTTAGTTGCCTCTTATGACACATGGCTTTCGGAGAAAGATTTCTGTTCTACATACCCATGGAATGTACAAGCGCGCGCGCGTCATTTTTTTTTTTTTTTTAATAAGTCGGCCGTCTCCCACCAAGGCAGGATGACCCAAAAAGAAAATGCTTTCATCATCATTCAACACTTTCACCTCACTCATACATAATCACTGTTTTTTGCAGAGGCAACCAGATACAATAGTTTAGAAGCATATATAAAGCACATATCCCTCCAAACTGCCAATATCCCAAACCTCTCCTTCATAGTACAGGCATCATACTTGCCATTTCCGGTACTCAAGTCCTGCTATATAAAAATAACCAGTTTTCCTGAATCCCTTCACTAAATATTACCCTGCTCACACTTTTATATATATTTTTTTTTTCAACAAGTCGGCCGTCTCCCACCGAGGCAGGGTGACCCAAAAAAGAAAGAAAATTCCCAAAAAGAAAATATTTTCATCATCATTCAACACTTTCACCACACTCACACATTATCACTGTTTTTGCAGAGGTGCTCAGAATACAACAGTTTAGAAGCATACACATATAAAGATAAACAACATACCCCTCCAAACTGCCAATATCCCAATATTCTTTCTTTCAACACATTGGCCGTATCCCACCGAGGCGGGGTGGCCCAAAAGGAAAAACGAAAGTTTCTCCTTTTACGTTTAGTAATATATACAGGAGAAGGGGTTACTAGCCCCCTTGCTCCCAGGATTTTAGTCACCTCTTACAACACGCATGGCTTACGGAGGAAGAATTCTGTTCCACTTCCCCATGGAGATAAGAGAAAATGAAAAAGAACAAGAACTAGAAAGGAAATGAAGAAAACCTAGAGGGGTATGTATATATATGCTTGTACATGTATGTGTAGGTGTAGTGTGACCTAAGTGTAAGTAGAAGTAGCAAGACGTACCTGAAATCTTGTATGTTCATGAGACAGAAAAAATGACACCAGCAATCCTACTATCATGTAAAACAATTACAGGCTTTCGTTTTACACTTACTTGGCAGGACGGTAGTACCTCCCTGGGTGGTTGTTGTCTACCAACCTACTATCTAGGAGAGGAGAGTTATTAAATGGAGAGTTAGAGGTATTGGGAAGATGGAGGGAATATTTTGAGGAATTGTTAAATGTTGATGAAGATAGGGAAGCTGTGATTTCGTGTATAGGGCAAGGAGGAATAACATCTTGTAGGAGTGAGGAAGAGCCAGTTTTGAGTGTGGGGGAAGTTCGTGAGGCAGTAGGTAAAATGAAAGGGGGTAAGGCAGCCGGGATTGATGGGATAAAGATAGAAATGTTAAAAGCAGGTGGGGATATAGTTTTGGAGTGGTTGGTGACATTATTTAATAAATGTATAAGAGGGTAAGGTACCTAGGGATTGGCAGAGAGCATGCATAGTTCCTTTCTATAAAGGCAAAGGGGACAAAAGAGAGTGCAAAAATTATAGGGGGATAAGTCTGTTGAATATACCTGGTAAAGTTTATGGTAGAGTTATTATTGAAAGAATTAAGAGTAAGACGGAGAATAGGATGGCAGATGAACAAGGAGGCTTTAGGAAAGGTAGGGGGTGTGTGGACCAGGTGTTTACAGTGAAGCATATAAATGAACAGTATTTAGATAAGGCTAAAGAGGTCTTTGTGGCATTTATGGATTTGGAAAAGGCGTATGACAGGGTGGATAGGGAGGCAATGTGGCAGAGTGTGCAGGTGTTGGTGTAGGAGGTAGGTTACTGAAAGCAGTGAAGAGTTTTTACGAGGATAGTAAGGCTCAAGTTAGAGTATGTAGGAAAGAGGGAGATTATTTCCCAGTAAGGGAGGGTCTTGGCAAGAGGCGTGGAGTTAAAAGATAAAGAATCCCACATGAAGTGGGAGTTGTCACAGTTGCTCTTTGCTGATGACACTGTGCTCTTGGGAGATTCTGAAGAGAAGTTGCAGAGATTGGTGGATGAATTTGGTAGGGTGTGCAAAAGAAGAAAATTAAAAGTGAATACAGGAAAGAGTAAGGTTATGAGGATAACAAAAAGATTAGGTGATGAAAGATTGGATATCAGATTGGAGGGAGAGAGTATGGAGGAGGTGAATGTATTCAGATATTTGGGAGTGGACGTGTCAGCAGATGGGTCTATGAAAGATGAGGTGAATCATAGAATTGATGAGGGGAAAAGGGTGAGCGGTGCACTTAGGAGTCTGTGGAGACAAAGAACTTTGTCCTTGGAGGCAAAGAGGGAATTGTATGAGAGTATAGTTTTACCAACGCTCTTATATGGGTGTGAAGCATGGGTGATGAATGTTGCAGCGAGGAGAAGGCTGGAGGCAGTGGAGATGTCATGTCTGAGGGCAATGTGTGGTGTGAAGATAATGCAGAGAATTCGTAGTTTGGAAGTTAGGGGGAGGTGCGGGATTACCAAAACAGTTGTCCAGAGGGCTGAGGAAGGGTTTTTGACATGGTTCGGACATGTAGAGAGAATGGAGCGAAACAGAATGACTTCAAGAGTGTATCAGTCTGTAGTGGAAGGAAGGCGGGGTAGGGGTCGGCCTAGGAAAGGTTGGAGGGAGGGGGTAAAGGAGGTTTTGTGTGCGAGGGGCTTGGACTTCCAGCAGGCATGTGTGAGCGTGTTTGATAGGAGTGAATGGAGACAAATGGTTTTTAATACTTGACGTGCTGTTAGAGTGTGAGCAAAGAAAACATTTATGACGGGGTTCAGGGAAACTGGCAGGCCGGACTTGAGTCCTGGAAATGGGAAGTACAGTGTCTGCACTCTGAAGGAGGGGTGTTAATGTTGCAGTTTAAAAACTGTAGTGTAAAGCACACTTCTGGCAAGACAGTGATGGAGTGAATGATGGTGAAAGTTTTTCTTTTTCGGGCCACCCTGCCTTGGTGGGAATCGGCCAGTGTGATAATAATTATAAATATATATATATATATATATATATATATATATATATATATATATATATATATATATATATATATATATATATATATATATATATAATATATATACTATATATATATATATATATATATATATTACTATATATATGTATATATATACTATATATATATATATATACTATATATATATATATATATAATATATATATATATATATATATATATATATATATATATATATATATATATATATATATATATATGCAAACAACCACTCTGAAAGAATAGAGAAATTCCAAGCACTTTCGTGACTACTCACATTATTGCATATATATATAATATATATATATATATATATATATATATATATATATATATATATATATATATATATATATATATATATATATATATATATATATAATATATATGCAATAAGATCACAGTAAACAGGTGATTTCAAAATATCCAAAACAACCGCTCTGAAAGAATAGAGAAATTCCAAGCGCTTTCGTGGCTACTCACATTATCAAGGAACTATGAAAGTAAAGCATCCAAGGAAGCTATATAAGGGGTCTGGCCAGCACCTCACTATCAGATCCCACAACGGTTGAACACGTGGCGCACGCCGACCCAACTTGGATAGGTCCTTTGCACAACTCACCCACAAACTATTCTACCCAAGAAAATTTAAAAATTATTATTTGTCCAGTGTATTATTAAATTCTTCCCAAATTCTATTAATTATAAATGGATCTAATTTATATAAACCAAAGGAAATATTCATATTATTGTCTAAACTGCTTTTTATGAAACAAGATTCAATTATATTCCTGTCGACCATGGACTTGCTTGATACTACTTTCTCAACTTTTTGAAAATCATTTGGATGGTTAAAATCTCTTACATGAATAAATAGAGCATTGGAATCTTGTCCAGTTCTAATGCTATATTTATGTTGTTTTAATCTTAGTTCGAGATTTTTACCAGTTTGACCGTAATAAACTTTAT